CCCCTGGGCCAGAAAGGAGCACTCTAGCCAGTATTCCCTTCATAATAAAATAAAACCAGGAGATATCCATTACTATTTACAGTGGGGCAAAAAAAGTATTTAGTCAGCCACCAATTGTGCAAGTTCTCCCACTTAAAAAGATGAGAGAGGCCTGTAATTGGCATCATAGGTAGACCTCAACTATGAGAGACAAAATGAGAAAAAAAATCCAGACAATCACATTGGCTGATTTGGAAAGAATTTATTTGCAAATTATGGTGGAAAATAAGTATTTGGTCACCTACAAACAAGCAAGATTTCTGGCTCTCACAGACCTGTACCTTCTTCTTTAAGAGGCTCCTCTGTCCTGCACTCATTATCTGTATCAATGGCACCTGTTTGAACTTGTTATCAGTATAAAAGGCACCTGTCCACAACCTCAAACAGTCACACTCCAAACTCCACTATGGTGAAGACCAAAGAGCTGTCGAAGGACACCAGAAACAAAATTGTAGACCTGCACCAGGCTGGGAAGACTGAATCTGCAATAGGCAAGCAGCTTGGTGTGAACAAATCAACTGTGGGAGCAATAATTAGAAAATGGAAGACATACAAGACCACTGATAATCTCCCTCGATCTGGGGCTCCACGCAAGATCTCACCCCGTGGGGTCAAAATGATCACAAGAACGGTGAGCAAAAATCTCAGGACCACACAGGGGGACCTAGTGAATGACCTGCAGAGAGCTGGGACCAACGTAACAAAGGCTACCATCAGTAACACACTACGCCGCCAGGGACCCAGATCCTGCAGTGCCAGACGTGTCCCCCTGCTTAAGCCAGTACATGTCCGGGCCCATCTGAAGTTTGCTAGAGAGCATTTGGATGATCCAGAAGAGGATTGGGAGAATGTCATATGGTCAGATGAAACCAAAATAGAACTGTTTGGTAGAAACACAACTCGTCGTGTTTGGAGGAGAGAGAATGCTGAGTTGCATCCAAAAGAACACCATACCTACTGTGAAGCATGGGGGTGGCAACATCATGCTTTGGGGCTGTTTCTCCGCAAAGGGACCAGGACGACTGAGCCATGTACAGGACAGAATGATTTGGGCCATGTATTGTGAGATTTTGAGTGCAAACCTCCTTCCATCAGCAAGGGCATTGAAGATGAAACGTGGCTGGGTCTTCCAACATGACAATGATCCCAAACATACCGCCCGGGCAACGAAGGAGTGGCTTCGTAAGAAGCAATTCAAGGTCCTGGAGTGGCCTAGCCAGTCTCCAGATCACGACCCCATAGAAAACCTTTGGAGGGAGTTGAAAGTCCGTGTTGCCCAGTGACAGCCCCAAAACATCACTGCTCTAGAGGAGATCTGCATGGAGGAATGGGCCAACATAACAGCAACAGTGTGTGCCAACCTTGTGAAGACTTACAGGAAACGTTTGACCTCTGTCATTGCCAACAAAGGATATATAACAAAGTATTGAGATGAACTTTTGATATTGACCAAATACTTATTTTCCACCATAATTTGCAAATAAATTCTTTCCAAATCAGCCAATGTGATTGGATTTTTTTTCTCATTTTGTCTCTCATAGTTGAGGTCTACCTATGATGCCAATTACAGGCCTCTTTCATCTTTTTAAGTGGGAGAACTTGCACAATTGGTGACTGACTAAATACTTTTTTGCCCCACTGTACCTCCAAATGAAAGCTCAATTTATCCTGAAAAAAACCAATATATAATTTACTGGATATACTAAGTAGTTGTGATATGTACATTTATACTAACTCTTGTCAGAGTTGCAAAATTAGGTTTGGGCGTTAAGGCTTTCTTTAAGCTTGGTCATGTAGGGGTTAAATAATGTTCCCACAAGCAAACCCCCCTACCTTGAATCTCCTATTAACTGAGATCTGCAATTAATGAATGAAAGTTCATTTCTTCATCCTTCCTCTGTTGTGACAGAAAGGGAGGACTCTCCAATAGACATGTGCACGGCCAAAATTTTCTTTGTTTAATTTTATTAGTTTCGTATATTCATTTTTATCAGAAGGATTCAATATTTTTTAATCCGCTCCAAATTTATTGTGAAGAATAGCTGGTGGTTAAGCAGCAGGCGACCGCAACATCCTTAACATCCATGACTGGATTCCCCAATGACAGCAGAAGGTAAACAAAAGAAATGCTGGTGAAAAAAAAGTGTGGGGGGTCCCTCCCAAAATCTATACCAAACCCTTACCTGAGTGGGTAGCCTGGCAGGCCAGGAAAGAAGGGGGATGAGCGAGTACCCCCTTCCCCCCAAAACATACCAGATCACATTCCCTAAACATGGGGGGGTGCTTTGGGGGAGGGGGCTCCCCCCCAAAGCACTTTGTCCCCATGTTGATGAGGACAAGGGCCTCTTCTCCACAACCCTGGGCTTTGGTTGTGGGAGTCTGCAGGCAATGGGCTTATCAGGAATCTGGAAGCAACAACAAGAGGGGCACCAAATCCCAGATCCTGTCAATCGGTGTGTGACGGAACACAGGGCGGGAGTGTTCAGCGATTGGTGGGATTTTTTTCTCTTTTGTGTGGGTTGGTGGCCGCCATTAATTGTCACTGTCGTTTGATCTACTTCGAGGGATTTTCTTTTTTTTGGGGGGGGGGGGGGGAGGGGGGGTTCTTAACTTTCATTTTTATTCAAGTTTTGTCAGAAAGTAGACAAAGAGTAACAATAACCACAGAGTAGTGACATGAGACTTGGCAAGAATATACAACGTTATAAGGGTTATCATGGGATAATTTAGAAGACAGATCACTATTCAATAAGTCACATGAATTATACATCAATCATATACCAGTGTTATGACTAGAAGACCCTCTCAAAAAAAACCAGCCCAAATAAACTAGCTATGACAGTTATCTTATGATGGAGGTTGGACAAAGGGAAAATTCCAACTTATAGATAATTCAATATAGCTGTTCTGACTATTTCATTAAAAGCAAAGGAAGGAAAAAGAGAGAGAAAAAGATAGAAGTAAATAGTTATATACACCTCACTGGACACATCCCACACAAATCAAATTGCCCTAACTAGGCATTTTATGGTCACTGTTCGAAAAGATTCCTAGGACGCCAGATCTTATTGAATTAAGAAAGGCTATTATTCAAACAGGCAGTCAAATACTCCATATTGTAGATATCATGAATATGAGTATATAAGTCAACCCAGGAAGGGTTTAAGGTCTTTTTCCATTTCAAAGCAACTAGACATCAAGCCACAGTGAGAACATGGTTAACTAATTTAACAGCAGCTTTGACTATATTTGGTAAAGGAAGCCCTAGTATGAAGTAAATTGGGTCCAAAAGGAACCGAAAATCAAAAAGAAACTACAGAGTTTTATTAGCTCCCCAAAAAGGATGAATTTTTGGACATTTCTAATAGTTGTGAAATAGTATCCCTTCTGATTCACCCCACCATCAGCATTCCTGAGGTAGGGCATAATTATTGCATGTAACCTTTCAGGGGGTAAGGTACCAATGAAACAACATATAATTTATTATTTATATTGGTTCTCCTTATAAAGAGTACATAAAGAAGTTTTATTAGCATTATCCCAGATGTCCTCCCACCCCTCCATTTCCAAAGTTTGACTTAGCACGTGCTCCCACTTGAGCATGTAGCCATGTTTAGGAAAAGAGGAAGTATCTAGAGATGTAAGTATACAATATATATCGGTAATAAGATGCTGATGCTTAAAACCATTTAGGCACATTCTCTCTGAGAGATCATTTAGAATATGTAAGCTTATCTGCCAATGTTTATGCGTAATGCTGTATGTGAAGATAAGATAATAAGGCCGGGATGGTAAAGCATTCTTAAACCGTAGTTCAAAAAAAGTAAGCAACTTCCCAGATATGGGGTTTACAATATCATGGTAGCAAATAAGGCCATTCGCTAACCATGGAGATGTTCTTTCGAGACTGGATGGTAAAAGGACATTACCCACAAAGGAAATTATCCACGAGGCTGTAACTGATAGGTGAAATTTAGTGTTTTTTTTTTGATTGAAAAGATACTTTTATTACAGAAGCATCAAAAACAACATGATACTGGTAATCGGGGTACATCTCACCCTATACTGTGACGCAGCGCACCACATAGCAATATAGTTCCAAGCATAGAATAAATACATTCAGAAATAAATACATTCACTACAGGGGCACAGCCTATATTTGTGTTAGGAGGGGGGACTGGGGCGGGTGTTGTGCTAAAAAGGGATTGAACACAGCCCACATTTGTGCTAAGAGGGGGGATTTGGGAGGCTGCTGAGAGGGGGGATTTGGGGGGGGTTAAGGAGATTGTGCTGGAAAAGGGAACTGGGGCAGGTGTTTGCGAAGAGTGGGGATTTGGGAGTAGGGGTGTTGTGCTAGGAGGAGGGATTTAGTGGGGGATTTATGTTAGGAGGGGGGAGTTGAAGGGGTTGTACTAGGAGAGGAGATGGGAGGGGTGGTTGGAGCAGGGTTTGTATTAGGAGTGGGGATTTGGGAGCAGGGGGGGTTGTGGGTGAGAGGGCAAATTGAAGAAGGTTGTGCTAGGTGGGGGCATTTGTGCTAGAAGGGAGAATTGGGGGGGGTGCTCGGAGAAGGCATTTGTGCTAGAAGGGGAAATTTGTTGGGAGAAGAGTTACAACTTCAGATTACTGAACATTAGAAAAATCTGATGTACATGAACACGCAATAAATGCATGCTCAGACACACCTCCTGGTGTGAACAAGCCCTCAGACTGGTGTGCCCCAGGATTGTTCTAAAGGGCACCTCTACTGAAAAAAGCGGCTTTACACAATAAATAAGTAATAAATAAATTTAAACATAACAAAACTAAGCAAAGCTCACTTTTATGTTTTTTGGGCAGTGTTAGCGTAAAATTAAATCGTGTTACCGCACATAAAAGTGAGCATTTTATTCTGTAATTTGTCCTGTTTAAAATGATACTAAAATTATGATTCTGGTACAAAGCATTGAAAAGTTATTTACAAATGAAGTCAAGTGTTTTTTTTTTTTTTTTCAGTTTTGCACTTGTTTTGTAAAATGTGTAAATTTATGTTAAAGGTGTGAAAACATTAATGAACAAAGCAAACAAAAACAAAAAAAAAGTTTAAATATTATAACAAACAAAGTCAGCAGAGAAATTATAGATGAATAGAGAAAGAGACTGAGTTATTTGGGGTTGAAACATTTTTTTAATTCTCAGGTTGCTTTAACTGACTTGCTGGCTTGTATACAGTTTTGGGCAATTTTTTCACATATACAGATTGGATGCAGTTTGAACCGCATCCAATCTGCATGACATGTGAAATAACATTTCTTCCTATGGTGCCTGTTCACATATGTCCGGTGCACTGGCATTGAAAATTCAATGCGGTTTGAAAAAGCATCATGTACAATTTCTGAGCAGTGCTTTCAGGTTCAGGTGTGGATTACAGGCTTCTATGGGAACCGTTTATAAACCATATATGTGTGAACAGGATAGGATCCTGAGCTAATCCTGTCCTGAACCCGATTTAACTCTGACATGAAATGGTGAACAACTACTGTATTAATTAGCTGTGAAACCTGAGCTTCAATCCACACCGCACATGTGTGAACCAACTCACATATTGCCAAGGCACCCCTGAAAACACCTGAAGGCATCCTGGTTGAAAAAGGCTGGTCTAAAGACTGCAAAAAAAAAAAATTAATGTTGCAAGATGGTATTCATGAAAAGAAAGCCTTTTTTGTACTTAACACAATACAAATATTGTTTTTTTATCTTAAGTAATGACAAAGTTATCACCGAATAAACAGGTCAATATCAAAAATGTAAAAATTGTTCTGGCTCATTTGGGGTTAACAGGTGTGAAAGGCAAGGTGGTTAAAGTGTTATTAAAGCCCAGACCCTACATTCACTATATCTGGTCTCCCAGGACCCTGCATTCATTATATCTGGTCTCCCCGGACCCTACATTCACTATAATATCTGGTCCCCCAGGACCCTGCATTCACTATATCTGGTCTCCCCGGACCCTGCATTCACTATATCTGGTCTCCCACAGTACACACAACATGGAAATGCAATTATTTTAGTAAATATAAACTGCTAAATACCTTTTCTCATCAGCAGTTAGAGCAGTCTTGAGACTTCTATCAGTGTTCAGCAGAGCACATTTTAAAGCTTGTAGGAGAAATTTTTCCATTCTCCTCTCATTGCCCTATTAGATTGCATAACTTCTGACCCTATGTCTAGACAGTTCTGACTGGCCTTGTGCTGATCACATGCACTCTCCCAAGAAAAAGAAAAAACTTTCTAGCAGTACACACCAAACTCAGCATGAGCAGAGTGTCCATGAGGCTTTATTCTATCAAGAGATGAAATGAGGAATGTGGAAGAAGGGGAGGATCGGAGAAGATAGGATCAAACAGCCTTTTTACGCAAAGCAGAGGATTAACCCCTTAGGTTCCACAGTGAATATGACAAGCATGCTCTACTGCATATACAGACTGATTTTACTGTTGTGGGTTTAGTAACACTTTAAGCCTTTACTTCCACTCTGCGGGTAACTGGGAAGGCTGGTTCTGTGAGTGTATGATCTCTGTATGCCTATAATGTAACAGCTTATCTTGACAATTTAACTTTGTATGGCCAGAAGGAAAGGCTAATGATAGTCACTGGTATGACCTTAGTCTCCTGTCCCCACAGACACTCTTTTGAGACACACTGTGCAGGCAAATACTGAAGGGGACAGAAATGACACGCTGTTTTAAGACTTTAATTTCATTTCACTGCTAACCGGGAAAGACATCTTTTCTGTACTTATAGTGGTACAGCATGTCTTGGCAATGTGGCAGTGTGCTGCTAACAAATAAGAATGGGAATTGGTTGAAGTCTGTTGGCTTTTCTCTTCTTTGCAGGGTGATATCATACAGTCATGGCCAAAAATATTGGCACCCCAGCATTTCTGTCAGCTAATGCACTACTTCGCCAGAAAATTGTTGCAATTACAAATGTTTAGGTGTTCTCAGGATGGACTGGACAAAATTATTGGCACCTTTTCAAAATTGTAAGAAATAATTGCATTCCAAGTTTTCGATGCTCCTGTCATTTGTAATTAAACTCACCTGTATCAATTAACAGATCTCAATGTTTTTGTGTCCACTGTGCGCAACATTGTCAAAAATCTTGCAGCCCATAGCACTGTAGCTAATCTCCCTGGACGTGGTCAAAAGAGAAAAACTTGATCAAAGATTGCAAGGAAGAATTGTTCTAATGGTGGATAAAGAACCTCGATTAACTTCCTGACAAATTCAAGCTGACCTTCAGGCACAGGGTACAGCTGTGTCAGCTCGCACTATACATCGCCATCTGAATGAAAATGGATGCTATGGTAGGAGACCTAGGAGGACTCCACTACTGACAAAGAAAAAAAGCTAGATTGGAGTTTGCCAAAACTTACCTGAGAAAGCCAAAATCCTTTTGGGAGAATGTGCTGTGGACAGATGAAACAAAATGACAGTTTTTTGGTAAAGCCCATCATTCCACTGTTTTCAGAAAAAGCAATGAGGTCTTTAAAGAAAAGAATATAGTCCCCACAGTAAAACTTGGTGGAGGTTCACTGATATTTTGGGGTCGATTTGCTGATTCGGCACTGGATGTCTTGACTGTGTGTGAGGCACTATGAAATCTGAAGACTACCAAAGAATTCTGGGGTGCAATGTAGGATCCAGTGTTAGAAAATTGGGTCTCCGTCAGAGGTCATGGTCTTACAACAGGACAGTGACCCAAACCACACTTCATATTGCACCCAGAAATAGTTTAAGACAAAGAGTTGGAGAGTTCTGAACTGGCCAGCAATGAGTCCAGATATAAAAAACCAAGCGTTAAATATGAAGTGCTGTGTAATGATAACGGGAAAGGGGGCTTAAACTTACCAAATTTTAGGAAATGTCTGTGTTACTATCAGGAATTGGATAGGTAACTCATGGGGAGAAGCTGGGTAAGAATAGAAAGTACACTTAGTAAGGCTCATTTAGATAGGATTATTTGGCTTCCACAAACGTTTCGTTCAATGGACGAAAATACAAGCACTTTGACATGGAAGGTTTTAAGGGTATGGGACGGGAGTACAATTCACTTTTTAATACCATTGGTCAGAACTGAGATTTTCCCACCAGGTAAAGACAATATTTCAGGGAATAACATAAACATGGTAGAAATTAACTATAGATGTTTAGTTAGATGGTATATCACACCTAGTGTTGCACATAGACAACGATCTGAAGTTTCACCGTTATGTTGGAGGGGGGTGTGGAATGAAGGGAACAATGTCACACATTTTGATGGGAGTGCCCTAAAATACAGAAGTTTTGCCAAGAAATAACCCAATATATACAAGAGATCCTGAGGATAATACCAAAGGACCCGTGGTTCTGTTTATTCCATATAACGGAGACCTCAGCGAAACAATATAAGAACAGACTAATATATCATTTAATAAATGCAGCTAAAGGACTTATCCCTAAAGTTGGCAAACACAAGATCCACCAAAAATAAGAGACTGGATAAATAGAGTTGAATATACATATATGATGGAGGAGTTATACCATTTGGATTTAGATCGAATGGAAAAATTTTAAAAAAATTTGGGCGGATGGTACACCTTTAAAACATCAAAAAGATATCACAAAGTGGTCAGAGTTTAAAGAATAGGAACAGCCCAAATAAAAAAAAAAGAATGTCTCATAGGAGGGTAGGAGAGAGGAGATACGAGATGTAGGGGGTGAAGATAGATTAAAATAATACTTGAGGAACCAGAAGTAAAAGTACATAGAAAGTGAAAAGGGGAATACATTGGGGAGGGGAGATGAAGGGAAAAGGGTATATATTGTGTAAAAATTTGCATTTTGAAATGTTGGTTGTAAGATGATTTTGTATTGAAAAAAACTTAATAAAAGATATAATTAAAAATAAATAAATAAATATACCATAGAGCACCTGTGGAGAGATATCAAAACAGCAGTTGGGAAAAGGAACCCTTACAATCTGAGAGAATTGGAGCAGTTAGTGAAAGAAGAGTGATCCAAAATTCCAGTAGAGAGGTGGAAGAAACTCATCGATGGTTACAGGAAGCCCTTGATTTCAGTTATTTTTTCCAAAAGGTGTGCTGCCAAATATTAAATTGAGGGTGCCAGTAATTTTGTTCAGTCCATTTTGGGGGGTTTTGCTTGGAATGTGTCAGATTTGGCTTTATGTTTCTTCACTTTTTTTGTTTCATACCATTACAAACAAAATAAATAAACATGAGAATGCTGAAACATTTGTAATTGCAACAATTTTCTGGGTGAAGTGGTGACACTTATCTGACAAATGCAGGAGTGCTAATACATGTAGCCAGGGGCAGACTGATAACTCATGGGGCCCCCGGGCAATAGGGGATCATGGGGCCCCTGTGTCCTTGCCCAAACTAAAAAAAAAACTATGAAAAAGGTACCAGAAGCATCTCATGGGGCCCCCTACTGACCCCGGACCCTCGGGTAGTGCCCGAGTTTCCAAATGGTCAGTCCGCCCCTGCGTGTAGCCATGACTGTGCATATCCTTTGTTGCTGCCATCTTTGCTGCCCAATCTGCGTGTGTATGCTCATCATTTCCTAACAATGTTGATAAATGTAAGGTTATGCACTTGGGGGCGAAGAATAATGCATGCATCACACATACTAGGGGGTACAACTGGGGGAATCAATGGTGGAGAAGGATCTGGGAGTTCTGGTAGATCACAAGCTTAATAATTGGATGCAATGCCAAGCTGCGGTTTCTAATACGCGCAAAATCCTCTCTTGTATTAAAAGAGGTATAGACTCCAGAGAGAGAGAGATATCATATTACCCCTGTACAAATCATTAGTAAGACCTCATCTGGAATATGCAGTTCAGTTTTGGGCACCAATTCACAAAAATAACATTGGGGAACTGGAGAAAGTACAGAGAAGGGCAACCAAACTGATAAGAGGTATGGAGGAGCTCAGCTATGAGGAAAGATTAGAGGAACTGACTGTATTCTCTCTTGAGAAGTGGAGATTAAGGGGGGATATGATCAATATGTATATATA